GCACTGAGCCTGGATGATAGGACTCCTGGGTCCCCAGAGAGGGGAAAGTGCATCCTAGGGAAGAGATCATTGGACTGGCAGGCAGATAGTATTACATAGGGTAGAGGAAGTGTGGCTTCCAACTCGTGACCCTAAGGCAGCTGCATGCCTGTCCCATTGCATGTCCCTCCTCTCAGGGAGTTCTGACCTCCATCTTAAGGGCTGAAGGAGGATACAGATGTATCACATCTTCTGTAGTTTCATCATGCTGTTTAGGAGTGTAGGCCTTGAGTATGTTAGATTTGGAAACATCTATCTGTCTCAGCTAGTGGGTCCACCTCAAAGCCTGGAGAATGTCCATTTAGTGCTAATGGCCGTGTCTCTCCCTCCCCCGTTGTTGTCATTACTCTGAGAAGTTGTTGGCTTTTTGGACAGATTTGTCAGTCAGCATGAACAAAATTAAATAGAAAGCAATTGCTGGTAGAATGCTATTTAAAAAGGGAAGATTGTATTTTATCATTTCTCAAACACTGGGTGATGATTGTCCCTGTGTAGATCGTAAAGTCATCTAGCTTGGGTGTAAAGACGTTCGAATGTTGCTTTCAGAGAACACACTATTGTTAGAGTAGAGATGATAGATTCCATTAATCACCAAACAGGCTCCTCCTTGTTCTGTGAGTGTGGAATCTAGGGCCAGGAGGAGGTCCTTGACTGCCTCAGGCAGAGTGTCCACAGCCTTAGTACTTGCTGTAGAATTTGTTCTGAAGTGCATGTCAAATTCCCTGAAACAACAGTCTGGCTTTTAAAGTTCATGTGACAATCATAAATCTTCTAAGGAGTGCTATCAATAGCAGCTTCCAGAGAGAATCAAGAAGAGGCAGGAAAACACATGTCTGCCTAAGATACAATAGTCTCAATATGGCAGTAGCAATTTTTTACTTACTTTTTTGCCTTTTGAAGAGGTATTTGAGGTCTGAGTTTGGTCTACTGGAATAAGCAGTGTGTAGGTTCCTCTTCATTGTGCAGGAGTCAGGAGATTAGGTGGCCTAACGTGCAATGTGTATGTCAAAGCCAGGGCACGTACCCCAGGGCTTTGGTCCCTCAGATCAGAGATCCTGATGTGTCTGATGCTAAAAGGATGGGAAAGCATAGGCTGCTTGCCAACGCCAAAGGCCTTCAGGAGAACCCCCGCTCCTACTCCAGCTCAGACCCCTGGCCTACCTCTAGCTGGCACAGATACTGTGGGTACAGCTTAATACCTCAATACTCTTGTCTAAAACTTTAGTTCAGAAAAGGAGCTTAGACTGAGAAAATTCAAACTTCTTTTTAAAGATTCATGTTTTATTTGTATTTGGAAGGCAGAGTTACAGAGAGAAGGAGGGACAGATCTTCATCTGCTGGTTCATTCCCCAAATGGAGGCAACAGCTGGAGCGTGGCTGATTTGAAGCCAGGAGCCAGGAGCCTCCTCTGGGTCTCCTATGTGAATATAGGGGCCCAAGAACTTGAGCCATCCTTTGCTGCTTTTCCAGGTCATTAGCAGAGAGTTGGATCAAAAGTGGAACCGCCCCGACTTGAACCAGTAACCATATGGGATGCTGGCGTGCTGGCAGAGGTTTAAACAATCATCACTAAATTCTGGTAGAAAATTTATTAACAGAAGGCAAATTAAATGATGATTTAAAATATGGGTCCCAGATTATCTAGTCTTCTCTATTCTTTTTCTTGCCATTTATTTTTATTGGAAAGGCAGATTCTCTTTTCTTCCTTATTTGTTTTTTTTAAATAAGACAACATGAGAGGAAGAATAATACCGTTCCTAGACTTTGTCTTACCTACAGTTAAGATAACACCAAGTCAAAATTATAATATTTGTGTGAATGGTTTGTTATTAATAATAATAGTTGACATTTGTTGAGCCTTTTCTGTGTCCAGAAACTGTGCTAACTGTCCTTGTGTAGGCAATTTATTTAATTCCCCCAACATCCTTATGAAGTAAACGTTAGATGATCTTTTTTTTTTCAGAGTAGAAAAAGAGCTCCAGGAATTTAAATGCCACTGCAGGATTTGTAAGTGGTGAGTAGCTTTCAAATTCATGTGGCATGAGCCGGCATCAGATTTCCCAGAAAGCAGCGTGGCCTTCATGTGCCTTAATTATTCCACCTCGTCAACATGACTTAAATATATATTTTTAAAGAAATTTATTTTCGTCTAGAAAATTTTTTAAAACTCCCTGGGATATACTGCATTTATCATGAACTGCATTTTAAATTAACTTTAGCACTTGCTTTTAATAAATTTTTTACTTAGTAAATGAGATGTGATGAGAAAATCATGAAGTTACTTTTTGCTTAAAATCAAGTCATTATTATTTTTCAAAAGAGGTATTTATTCTTATTAGAGAGGCAGCTTTCCAGAGAGAAGGAGAGGCAAAGATCTTCCATCTGCTGGTTCACTCCCCAAGTGGCTGCAAGTGAGCCAATCCAAAGCTAGGAGCCGGGTGCTTCCTCTGGGTGTTCAACACAGGTGCAGGCTCCCAAGACTTTGGGCCGTCCTCTACTGCTTTCCCAGGCCACATGCAGGGAGCTAGAAGGGAAGTGGAGCAGCCAGGACACAAACCGGTGCCCCTATGGGATCCTGGCTCACGCAAGGCAAGGATCAAGCCACTGATCCTATGCGCTGGACCCGAGTCATTATTATTTGTTTTAAAATGTATCAAATTTGTTGGCTTTTGGTGTGTTGTCACAAAAATCTATCTGAAAATGTGTATGGGGGTAATAGCTTATACTTCCCTGTTTTCCTACTTATATTTCTTCCTGTGGTTAAAAAAATAGTAAAATTTTATTCCTGCAGTAGCAAATCAGGATTATTAGGATGAAATAAATATCATTACTTCATTGTGTATCAGGTATTATGCAGGTCATATAAACCAATGAGCTGCTTAGATTTGGCTTAGCAGGGTTAGGCTTCTGCATAGTAACTTACTTATTGCTGGTTCATAAAAAACATCCTAAGTTATCACGCAAAGTTATCCTAACAACAACCAGATAGGGCTATTTAAGAAAAGCCAAGATAATCTCACCTTTGTTGTTGAGGGGAATCTGTTTACTGCCAAACAGGTTGGATCAGCAGTGGGTGATGTTCTCAGTAGAGGATGGCTGTATTTGGATTCTCTGTGATGTCATTAAAATTTTTGGATTTTGGCATCTGACTCAGACAGCCTGTTAGATTTTCTCTTTTAGTACAAAAATATCCCTTGCTGCCAGTATATTCAGAAAGATGGAATCCTGCAGGAGTTTATTTTAACATTTTCAGACCCTTTGATTGCGTGCTTCTTTGAGAGCTCATTCATGCAGTTGGTGCAATACAAGCAAGCATTTCTCTGTTTATTTGAGAATGGAATTGCTAGATTATAGGTTCTGCACATCAGCAGTGCCAACGAGTTTTCCAAAGAGATGATAACAATTTACACTCTTTCTAGCTTCTCAGTTCTCACCCATATACTGCCATGTGTTGTGTTCCATCTAACAATGTGTCAGTCCAGATAAGTATGCGCTGATACTGATGGGGCTTTCCTGCTCGTTCTGGATGCCCACTGGTGTTGAATGTCGCCTCCTCTCCCTGCTAGCAGTCTGCATTAGCCTTGTCTGTGATCCATCTGACTCTCTTGTTTTCTATGTATAAGGATTCCTTGTATATTATGGATGCTAGCCTTTTAGAGATATCAGAATGATCGTGGAAAACGGAATTTAAAGATAAATTTATTTTGCTATAAAGGATTACATCCATTTTGTTAAATTCTCCTCCCTGCCAGATTTTTTTGTAACAAAATACTTAATTTTTAATTCCATTTTTCCCCTGTATGTTTCAAGTTATTCTCATACCTTTGTGGCTTGTCTTTTCACTTTGTCTACAGTGCCTTTTTTTTTTTTTAAAGATTTATTTATTTATTGGAAAGTCAGATATACAGAGAGGAGGAGAGACAGAGAGGAAGATCTTCCATCCGATGATTCACTCCCTAAGTGAGCGCAACAGCTGATGCTATGCCTATCTGAAGCCAGGAACCAGGAACTTCTTCCAGGGATCCCACAGGGGTGTAGGGTCCCAAGGCTATGGGCCATTCTCGACTGCTTTCCCAGGCCACAAGCAGACAGCTGGATGGGAAGTGGGGCTGCCGGGATTAGAACCGGCGCCCATATGGGATCCTGGGGTGTTCAAGGTGACGACTTTAGCCGCTAGGCCACGCTGTCGGGCCCTACGGTGCATTTTAATGAATGGATTTTATTTGTCATCAACCTCCCCACCTTAGTATGTGAGAGCATAATCCAGGTAATTTTTTTTTCAGTGCCTGAAGTCATTTTGAGAAGCAAAGCATCAATCTTACCTATTTGAATGCATTCATCTTGTTTTTCCTCTCGATAAGGTAACAGATGTGGAACATCTGGTTACCTAGTTTTAGATCTAGTTGTGATGGTGGTTTTCTATAAATTATATGCTCTGGTCTGCTTTTGTATCAGTCATGTTTGAAAAACTAATGAATCTGTCATAACAATGATTTGATGCCTTTGGAATACCTAACTTGTCATGGCAAGCAACCAAATGAGGCTAAGAATTCACCAGAACAGTCAGATTGAGTGAGCTTAGATACACTGAATTTGCTGCGAGAGAGAGAGAGAGAGAGAGAGAGAGAGAGAGAGAGAGCGCACGACAGGCATCGTGCAGCACACACTGTGCCCTGAGGGCTGTCTCTCTTTAGGGGGAGTTTTCTTGTGGTCCAATGGGTTTCCCCAGTGAAGTGATTTGTCCGTCTGTGCGGCTGGAGCTTGGCCCTAACTAGGGGCTTTCCCAGTCCATCACATCCGGGAGACCTTCCACACACCTCAACTTTAAATAAGTGAGAATAAGCATGTCAGAAGAACCATATTCTCATGGCCTGGAATATGACAGAAAGAGACTTGGTTTTGGTTGAATTTATACAAGTTTAAAATACGGGGATAACTACTTTTTTCCCCTTTCCTTTTAGGTATTGGTGGCAATTTGGTGGCCATTCAGGCTAGCAGGATTTCAACCTACCTGCATTTACATAGCATTCCAGGAGAATTGCCTGATGAACCCAAAGGTTGTTACTACCCATTCAGAACGTTTTTTGGTCCAGGTATGTGCTTGTGGATTGTTGTATATTTTATTCCAGAGACTATTGCTCTTTAAAACTATAGGCAGGCAATATTTGTTTGTGTGAATATATGCAAGTTGCATAGCTGTTTGGTTTCAGATAGCTTATTTCCATGAACAAAGATCAGTTTCTAAAGGTCCTTTCTGTAATTTTCTATTCCTCACTCAGGACTATCTCGTTTATTTCTCAGGAAAAAAGTGCACGACAAAGCCTTGCTGAGTGATGTAGGGAGATCGATCTGTTCTGTTTTTCTGATGTTAATCTTTTTGGCCCTTCTGAATTTAGCCATTTGATTCTAAAACACGAAAACGGATAATCTTAGTTGCAAGAAACAGTGTGTTATTGCTGTCAGGCAGACACTGAAAAACTAAGGCCACAATGTAGAACCTTACAGTGTAGAACGTCCTTCTCATTCCCCTCCCCTTGCCAGTGAAAGTAAGTGTGATTATTGGCATTGAATAAAGATCAGAACTGTCCAGCCAAACCAGTTAAGACACCATTGACATTCCCTGTCTTAGATCAAAGTGCCTGGGTAAAGTCCCAGCTGCACTTCTGATTCCAGCCTCCTGCTACTGTGCACCTTGGGAGACAGCAGTGATGGCTCAAGTACTTGGATCCTTCCATCTTTGTCAGAGACCCAGGATGAATGCCAGGCTCTTAGCTTTCAACCTGGTCCAGGCTTGGCTGTTAGAGGCATTTCCAGATAGAACCAACAGAGGGCAAATCTCTTGTTGTTTCGTCTTTCCCATCCCAATAAAATGAAAATTAAAAATATTGAGGGCCCACATTGTTATAGATCAACAACCCCATGCTAGGTGGAGGTATTGCTGTAGAACTCTGCTCCAGGTCTGCTCACTAAATGCGCAGAAAGCCAATCACTGACATTGCTGTAATGAAAGAAAGTGAGTGCAGGCAGGGCTCGAACTGACACCCATAAGAGGGGTCAGTGCTGCTGGCAGGATCCTTTGTGCTGTGCCACAGCGCTAGCACTGCAAATGACGTCTTGAATATCGTGGTTAGAATCTTGTGGGTTCAGCACCATCATTCTCCCAATCCAGTGAATTTTGATAAAGGACAGACAAGGACAGTTTGGGCTAAGAGACAGGCTGGGTTCTGCCTTAATGACAGGAGTTCAGGCTCGTGCTGCATACAGCTTGTGATGGTGGCATCCCATAACAAAGTGCCAGTTGGAGTCCTAGCTGCTCTGCTTCCAATCTGACTCCTGCTGATGCACCTGGGAAAGCAGCAGATGATGACCCACGTGCTTAGATCACTGTCAGCCATGTGGAGCACCAAGATGAAGTTACTGCTCCCAGCTTCACCTTGTCCCAGTTTTGGCTGTTGGTGGTGATTTGGAGAGTAATCCAGCAATGGAAGATTCTCTCTCTTTCCTGTTTCCCCTTTTCTGTTGCCCTGCTTCGCACATATCACTTCTCTCTTGCCTCCTATCTCTTTTACTCTGCCTTTCAAATAAATAAAAAGTCTTTAAAATATTTTTAAAAAGAAATGCCTAACCCAGCAATATCAGTGACAGAACTTTAAAGGAATAAAGTTAAAATGTCACAGAACTTTAAGCATTTTGTGTTTTCTCTTTTATCGTCTCTTTATTTTTATGAAAGATGTTAAACTCTGACCAGTATTCTTCATAGCAAATTTTAAACAGCCAGCTGTAATTAGTATATAACAAATAATGGGAAATTCAAATGAAGTGCATTGTAAATAGTTGAAATTTATTACAATTGAATTTTAATTCTATGTAGTAATAAGAAAGTAATTCTCAAATTATAATAACTAAGATCTACTACTAGCCAAAATACGATTTTATTTGAATGACTTTTACATTTTCTGTTACAGGAGTAAATAATAAGTCTGCCCAAGTTCTACTGCTTTTGGTAATTCCTGGACATTTAATATTCCTCTATACTATTCATTTGATGAAAAGTGGCCATACTTCTTTGACTGTAATCTTCGTAGTCGTGTACTTATTTGCTGCTGTGTTACAGGTAAGGTTGAAAACCTCTTGAAATCTCTTTTTTTGTCAGATAGCCATAAAAATATAGCTATGTAAACCTAGATGCATGTGACATATTTCACTGTTTCAAAAAATCGAGTGAATGCCTTTGTAATGTTTTCATTGTCTTTCAAAACTTCTTTATTTGAAGGCAGAGTTAGAGAGGAGGACAGATATCTTCTGTTGAGTGGCCACATCAACTGGGGCTGGGCCAGGCCAGAACCAGGAGCCAGGAGCTAGGAGCCAGGAACTTCATCTGGGTCTCCTATGGGGGTTCAGGGGCTCAAGAACAAGCCATTTTTCACTGCTTTCCCAGGTAAATCAGCAGGGAGCTGAATTGGAAGTGGAGCAGCTGGGACTCAAGCCAGTGTCTATATGAGATGCTGGCACTGCAGACAGAAGCTTAACTTGTTGTACCATAGCACCAGCCCCTGATTTGAATTTTCTTCTTCTTCTTTAAGATTTAAGTAGATTTTACAGAAGAGAAGAGGTCTTCTTTTGACTGGTTCATTCCCCTAATGGCTGTAATTGCCAGAGCAAGCTAGGCTGACTTGAAGCTGGGGGCTAGGACTCCTTAAAGGTCTCCCACATAGGTGCAGGGTCCCAAGAATTTGAACCATCCTCCATTGCCTTCCCAGGCCATAAACTAACAGCTGGATTGGAAGTGGAGCAGCCAGGGCATGAACTGGCTCCCACATGGGTGACTGGTGCTATAGGGTGAAAAATTAGCCTGCTGTGCCACCATGCTGGCACTTGATTTGACTTTCTTAAAATAAGCTGAGGGCCAGGTGTTTCCATTTTTAATAAGAGGTGGAGAAGGAAGTCAAGACTGGACTGGGCAAAAACAAGGAATTCAATCCAGGGCTCTGTGGTTGGCAAGAAGCCAGTGACTTGAGCTATCACAGCTGCCTTCTGAGATCTAGAACCTGGAACCAGAAGCCAGAGCCAGGAACTGAAATCTTGTACCCTGGTAAGAGACTCCGTCTTAACCAAGCACCTCCTTCAGGGCTGTTTTTAAGACAGAATGTTTGGAAGTCGTGTTTTCTCAGTTCCCTGTCCTCCCTCTCTTGCTTTCTCTGTTTTGTATGAACAGCTCTTCTGATAGATTCCTGAGGAAGGGCATGGGAGTAAATTCCTTAAGCTCTTGCATATTATAAAATTCTATATTCTACTCTTCTCAGCTAATGCATTCACTGGATGTAAGATTCTGTTTATTTTAGTATTTTGAAGCATTGTTTCACTGTCTTTTGACTTGTTATATTGCCATGGAGGTCAGATTGCAATCTTTCCTGATCTCATTGTGCAAAGTAATTTATCTTTCCGAAGCTTGCAAGAATTTCTCTTCTCACTGTTGCTTTTAATAAACCCCAGATGCTCATAGTTCTTAAACTCCAAGCTGATGTATGGTGGTATGGGCATACGTGGTCCATTTTGTTTATTTACTTTCAGTTAACTGTAGTACAGTGAGGGTTTGTAATGTACATTTCCTTTTTCCTGATGCGGTTTCTTACCACCTTGAGAGTGGAGATCAGGCCCCTTTCTCTTCAGTATTCCTCACCAAGTATGCGGTAGTGGCTGTTTTCAGAATTCTTGATGTTATGTTAGCTTTTCAGACAATATTCATTGAGAAGTCTCCTCCCTGATTCCCTGGTCACTTAAATAGAGGAAGTCTGTTTGAAAGGACCTTGATTTTTAGGTTTATTTATTGGATATATATATATATTGCAGTGTTTCTCATTTGTCTTCTCTTTCCAGAATCCTGTCTTGGCTATCGAATGTAGTTTGAGTGGCCTTGTTCTCTATTTCCCACCCCATACATACACAACACCATTGTCCTAATCTCTTCTTTATCATATTAACGCCTCCGGTTTATATGTCAGTCTCACATATTCCAGAGAAAGGTTGTTTGTTTTACTCATTTTTGTATATCCAGCACCTAGCTCCAGCTTTAGTGGCCAATGAATGTTTGTTGAACTAAGTGACTACTGTCATGTCAGATCCATCTCCTCTGTCAGCGGTGCCCATTGTCTAGATATGAGAAATATGGAATTTCTCATTAAAAATGCAGATTTTCTTTGCCTTCAATAACCACCAATTTTCTCTTTCATCAGCATAGATATTTAAAAGACAATGAGATAAAACCTCAAAATCTAACAATGATTGATTAAAAGGATAAGGTTTTGCTTTAGAAATGGCATAATTTGATACCTAGAAAAAGGGAAGGGTCAGGGTAAAATTGAGATTATAGTAGGTGAAGCCACATGAGAGTAAAATTTGTGGAATTAATACTCTAAACTTTAGGGTTTTTTCTATATATTGTACTTTTTTGGTATGTACTGTAGAATTTTTCCATAATAATGAATTTTAAGAACTAAAGTTTTAAATTCCAGATTTTGGGGCTGGCATTGTGGCTTATCAAGTTTAGCTGCTGCCTTCAACATTTTACATGGGTGCCAGCTCAAGTACCCACTGCTCTACTTCCAGTTCATCTCCTTGCTAAGGTGTCGGGAAAGGTGGAAGGGGAGGGTGTTAGTACTTGGACTCTTGCCACCACGTGGAGACCCAGAAGGAATTCCAGGCTCCTGGCTTTGGTTTTGGCCCAGCCATGGTCATTGTCATTTGGGGCATGAACCAACAAATGTAAGATAGCTCTCTATCTGTCCCTTTCTCTCTCTCTCTATACTCTGCCCTTCAAATAAATAAAATTTTTTCAAATGCTTCCACAGAATTATTTTTTGAACATATTATGGCTCTAGTTTTAGTCCTACACCTGCTTGGACTTCAAGTGAGGCATGAAATGGTTAAGTTGTTTCTTATTTTGCTTTTGGCATATAATGTCATTTTTGAAACTCTAAAAAGTTAATCCAATTATATGTCTATGATTATATGCTTGGGATATTAAGTGTCTTTCTGTTAGAAGGAACCTGTTGAATTTCACTTTGCTATGTGATATTTAGGCCACTGAAGCCAGTCAGAGGATGTCATAGGCTATACCATTACTCATTTTCTTGCCCTGTTCCTAAGAACATATTACTTTGAACCTGTCAAATTCAGGAGTAGTGTGCCAGGGTACAAACTGGTGCCCAAAAGGGATCCCAGTGGATGCAGGGCAAGCATTGAGCCACTAGGCTATTGCGCCAGGCCCCAAAACACTTTAAAGCCATTGTTTGAGCAAAGAAAAAAATAGCAGTACATCTTGATTCATTTCTCTGCTTAGTTTGATGCCACTACCATTTCCTCTTTGTATTGTAAATCCTAAATATACATATATGTTTTTTGGAAATACAGAAGTATAGATTTGGATGACAAAAACCTCAACAGTGATAAAAAGATTGCCTTTATGGGCCAAGTGTTTGGCTTAATTGGTGCAGATACCTTGGTCTTCGAGTACCTGGGTTGAGTGTCACGCGGGGTCTCATCCCAGGGGCCTCCTGATACCAAACCTGGGGGCACAAGGGCCATCTTAAGCAGTTAGGTCCTTGCCAATCACATGAGAGACCTACACCCAGTTCCCATCTCACAGGTCGGCCCAGTTCTGTCATTGTGGGTGTGTGGGCAGTGAACTAGTGCATGGAAGGTCTCTGTCTCTCTGCCTCTTAAAGAAATGAAACAAGATTGCCCAAAGACAAACTGAAAGAGGAAAAATAAATGAGTAAAACTAATTTTGGGTGAACTCAAACATGAATAAATCTATTACCATTGAAGTGTCACTGTTTCTGAAATCCATTATTTTGCTCATTTGATTAAAAACAAAACTCCTTTTTGTTTTACTATTAAATTTTTTCTTTTTATTCTGTGAAGCATCTCAGTGAGAAAAGAAAAAATAAAGAATTTTCTAGCTTTTGGTGCCTATTGAAGTCCAACAAAATGCTTGTTAATATAATTGACCAACAGTGTATTAAAACTGTTTCTAAATGAAATCCTAATTATTTTAGGCACTGATTGTTTAATGCAAAATTAGATTAGTAAGAATCCCACTAAGATTTTTAACAGCACCAAATCTCATGAGAGGTGGATTGCGTTGGTTTGGTTATAGTCCGTCTTTGCCCTTGACTGTGATCTGTGCTTTCCCGTGGGACAAAGAAAAATTTATCTTTTCAACAGTTCTTATGCATTATCACCTAAGCTATTCCTTCTGAAGTATCATTTCTTTACCAGTACCCTTATCTAGGCTTAGTGACTTGAATCACTTTTCAAGTCTGTATAAGTTGCAGAAATAATATTAGCAGGAGTGGGCATTAGGTACAGCATTGAGCAGACCAGTTTGGAAACCCATAACGCATATGGAGAGCCACTTCAGATTTCAGCTTCTTGCTTGTGCCCTCTCTGGAAAGCAGCAGGCGAGGGTTCAAATTTGTGTGTCATTGCCATTCTCACAGGAGACCCAGGTTGTGTTCCTGGCTCCCAACTTTGACCTGGTCCAGCCCTGGCCATTGCAGGGGGGTGGGACATAAACAGGCAGATAGACTCTCCCTTTCTCTCTCTCTTTCTTCCTTTTTAGTAAATATGGATTTTCTTTTTAGATTTTTTAATATAATAAGAAAAATTCCTTCTATTTTATAGGTCCCATTCTAAAAAGATAACCATGCTTTCCTTCTTCCTTCCCGCTGTCCCCTCTCCTTTTCTTTTCCGTTTAATTTTTGCAGTAACTTACTTTCAGTTTATTTTATATTCACAGGCCTAATGCACCACTAATCATAAAGTTCCTCAAGTAAAAACCAGGAAGACCACTGTTCCACAGGGATAATAGCAGTCACTTTATGTAGTATTTACTATGAGCCATGTACTGTTCAGGCTTCAGGCATGCTACATACGTGAACTCACTGAGTTCTTGAAACAACCCACTGAGATCAATTTTGTTATCATTTCCTGAGAAAAGACAATGACATGGAAGTTAAGTAACTTGTATAATGCTACACAGCAGAAAAGAGTTTGATTCTAGAATCTATTCTCCTAGCCACTGTGTTTCATAGTAAGTTTTGGCACAGGCAT